CTGAACTTATGGGATATGAATAACAAGGGAACGTGTTTGGAAAGGTCTCGCTTGATTACTGTATATATATATTAACACTTGCTGGTATTTAGATGATGACACAGATGGTATATTTCGAGCGTGACTTACAGTCTTGCATCTATGTCATGTCTGGTGTTGGTGTTCTTTTCTTCAGGGTTTAGGGTTTAGGATATCCTATCGCAGTACAATCAATACCACCTATCTTCACGTCTCTACACTCAGGTCACCCCATCCGACCTGGCCACCGTCGATGTGGTGTACGAGAGCATACTGCCGTTTCTCAACGAGAAGACTCTGGCAGCCACTGTGTGTGACAATATGGAGACCACCAGCTCCACCGGTACCAGCCACGTTGTGTTGCCATGGGAACCATTGGCGCGGGGTAGTGCGGGTAGTCTGGTGGAGGATGTGATCAAGGCCTGCTCGTTTGCGATGCTGTCGGAGGGCATGGGAGAGGGGAAGGTGTGTGTATGAAGGTGCACGTGTACGTCATGATACACAAGGCACATGTATATGCACGCAGGTATTCACACACATGTACGTGTGCATGCTGTTTCATTGAACATGTACATGTCACATGCGTACACACACGCACGCACACATGTACATGTACATATGTTTCATATGAACACACAGATATAACACGCATACACATACGCACGCACACATATAATGTACATATGTTTCATATGGACGCACACATGCCACATGCATACACATACTCACACACACATGCACATGTACATATGTTTCATTCGAGCATGCACACAGCACATGCACACGGCTCATGCAGCTCATTTACGCACTATAGGCGCGTCTCTCTCGAGAGTGGTTCAGGGTTTAATACGAGCCTGATGTTACTCATCCCCACGAATTAAGCGATTTCCCCAGCCTGAAAAATCCCAGACTCTAAAAGAAACCAGCGATGTAAATCCATTGTATTGGTTTTAAAAGGGTTTGCCTTCCACCTTGCACCTACTTATCATACGCTTCGCGTGGGGGATGAAACCAGGTTTTTCTCTCTTATAAATTTGCTCTCGCACCCGAAACTTGCACAAAAACCAGATTTTACTTATAGATCTGCTGTGTCGGTGGACGATCGCCAAGATGATGCACCACGACTTAACACAGATGACAGATATGAGCGGATCGGATATACATATGTGCCACCATACGCTGAAACAACTCGCCGGGTATGTGCTATATTTAGAACGGAGATCTCGCGAAGTTTTGATTGGCCGGGAGTTATTCTATATTTAGCATGTGTGACCTGTTCAGTGGTGCTCGTCTGATGTTTCGTTTGTTGGGTGTACGTTGCATACTTGGCATGCACGGTGAGAAGATATGACTATACCTACACACCATTTTATTTATGGACACGCATTCATCACACAGTATATACTACTACACCATCAATATCTATATATATTGGCAGGTAGGTCTACTGATACAAACACGTATTCATCCCACAGGCTGTATATACTTCCACACCATCACATTCTATATATCGGTAGATATGTCTCATTGATACAGGCACGTATTCATCACACAGAATATATATACTACACACCAAAAGAAAAAAACATCACATTCTATATATCGGTAGACGGGTCTTACAGATACAGGCACGTATTCATCACACAGGCTGTATATACTACCACACCATCCTATTCTATATATCGGTAGATAGTTCTTTTTGATACAAACACGTATTCATCACACAGGCTGTATATACTACCACACCATCACATTCTATATATCGGTAGATATGTCTAATCGATACAGGCACGTATTCATCACACAGAATATATATACTACCACACCAAAATAAAAAACATCACATTCTATTTATCGGTAGATATGTCTCTTTGATACAGGCACGTATTCATTACAAAGGCTGTGTATGCTACCACACCATCCTATTCTATATATCGGTAGATAGGTCTTACTGATACGGGCTCGGTACCATGTGCATGTTATATGGGAGAGTGATGAGGAGTGGCGAGTAGGAGCCACTGTAAAGGTCGTTGTCAAGTTACAGCGCTGTTGTCTGTTGCAATTCTTTGAAATAGATTCACAATCAAAACATATATACACAACTCAACAGGACATTGTCGCATGCATGGACACTTGCTTATGTATCGATACGTTTTATATATACGCTTTCTTTTGTATCGATATGCTTTGTATACATGCTATCTTTTGTATCAATACGTATCTTTTGTATCAATACGTTTAATATATACGCTATCTTTTGTATCGATACGTTTGTATATACACTATCTTTTGTATTGACCCGTTTTATATCTACGCTATCTTTTGTATCGATACGTTCAAAATATATGCTATCTGTTGTATTGATACGTTTTATACATACGCTATCTTTTGTATTGATACGTTCAATATATACGCTATCTTTTGTACCGATACGTTATATATATACGCTATCTTTTACATCAATACGTTTTATATACGCTATCTTTTGTACTGATACGTTATATATATACGCTATCTTTTATATCAATACGTTTTATATACGCTATCTTTTGCACTGATACGTTTTATATATACGCTATCTGGTGTATCAATACGTTTTGTATACGCTAACTTTTGTAACAATACGTTCTACTGATATAGGCACGGTGCCACGCACATGTCACGCGGAGGAGTGATGAGCAGTGGCGGATTGAAAGCGTTGCAGAGTTTTATTGACAAAACTCGAGCGTTGCTGACAGACATGAAACGATCGTCACCAATGGCCCAGAGTAATCCCAAGCCACTGAGAGCGCCTGAAAAGTATGATGGGTATATGTGTAGTGATACTTAGTAGAATGGTTGACTGCCACATTCAGTATATGTGTATACCAGTATACGTATATATATATATATGCACACACACACACATACATACATACACACACACATACACACACATACACATACACACACACACTCATATATATATATATATATATACATATACATCATATATATGTATATATATGTATATATATACATACATACATATATATATATGAATATATATATTGTATATGTATATACATACATACATACATACATACATACACTC